ATGGTAAGTTTATTATCATTGGGATATAAAATATTATATCTTGTTACACTTCAGTATAAATTACCCTTACATAACTTAAATACTTGTAAAGTATTTGACACATGAAAATAATATTAGATTTTGATAAAATTCGAATTATTTAAAAAACCTTAAAATCTAGGTATTATAAACCTTATTAAAACAGACACTTATTTTGTTCAGCTAATCCAAAAATGCAATACTATAATAATATACAGGACATTCCATTTAAYAAAASYCAACTTTGATACCTTTAGAGCTTTTGGGACACCCTGTACATTACAAAAATATTTTTAAAATGTGCGCTCGGTAGGCGTCGGACAATTTATAAAATAATACTTTTTAAAAATCAAACGGTTTAGCAGATTCCAGGCAATTTGGGTTTTGTCCCAAAATATCGTAAACAGACAGGTAGGCGAACTCTTTGGATAAAGTTCCGGCAAAATCTTACAATCTTTTCGGTAGCCCTTTTTGCGCCGATTGTAGATTAAAAAAAAATTAGAACCTCATTTTGCATATGAAATTATTTGGGGATAATAATAGAACAAAAGGCCGGTTAAAGTTTGTCACTACAGAAAATCTTCTCAAAATTGGTTAGTATTTGTGGACTTGGTAGCCTGAGGAAGATCTATTGAGTCCGGTCCGGAGCTGGCTGGATTTCTGGCCTTCTCTGAAGAAAATGTAGAATTTGAGGCATTTGGAGTAATTTTAAATTTTTCAAGCAGACATTTTTTTTTAAATATCTCATTTAAATTTTCGGGCAAACTTTGCAAACTGAAATAACACTGAAAATTCTTGATGCTCGTATATTTTTGCCAATTAACCCAAGCTGACGCTTTAATCAAATTTAATCAAGTCGATCAACTTTGAATCATAATTTCCCACTTAATTGTTCAGTTTTGACCCGTTTTCGTTCCGAACAGGTTGCGAACCGCAAGCATTTAACTTTTTTTTCAAAATTTATCGCAATTGAAATATATTTTATTCAATTTCTGCACCCCAATCTTTCAAAGTGGTGTTCCCATATCAGCAAACGGATGCTAGCGATCCAGAAAGAATAAATAGAAAAAGAAAAATAAACTGTGCAAGTTTACTTATATTCCTATCGTTAATGCAATATGAATTTTAAATGATTCTTTTTCATCAACAACTTTCACCGTTTTTTCTTCAATTCTTTTTGTCGATCTTTTTGCTTGCTGGGTCACATTTTGCCATTTTCTGCCGACACTTTTTTTAAATCAACAATAAATGTGCTTGCAAATGGCGATTTTTTGCAGCAAGATCTTCCAAGTCTCTTATGTTTGTAAAGCACAAAACAGCTAAACTTCTTGTTACTTATAGCACAATTAATGCTTTGCAATGTTAATTGGAATTTTTGGAAAAGCTTTATCAAATCCCAATTAAATCGACGTGGCATTTGCAAAGTCATTTAAATCAGGCTCAAATTAACTCCGAAATACTGCACATATGGAATTTTTTTCCTGTTGTCAAGTCGAAGCGGGACGATTAGAGTGGCATTAGTTAAAAACGCTTCCTGAACACCAAATTAATATTAAATTAGATCCATTATCGGTATACAAAGTACTTTCAAATTTTTTCTGTTAAATTAAGTAACGCGGCAAATGACGGTACCACCATAAAAGAAACGAGTTTACAATCACCATCGCGCGATGTCTTATCTACATCTAGTTTAACTTTTAATTAAAATGTGTAACACTTTGCAACAACAACATTCTAATCATTCGGTGATGGTTCATATTGGCGTTGGTCGTTGGAAAATGTTATTAAGGTGCTCAATCAATGTTACGTCTTGGATATTAGTGGCTGGGCCATCACAGGGCAACAGTAAATGAATCATTAACGATCAGAACTCCTCCCAGGAGTCCAGGCAAAATGAGGCGCAGTCGCGAGCCATTATCCTTTCTCATTTATCTCCTCCCTTCATTAGTGCCATCTTCCGTTCCAGGATAACCCTTCCGCTGAAATTGGAGCTTCCATTACGACGAAACTGCTCGAAAAGGAGAAAGAGAAACCGGCTCTTAGTCCGGGCAGAATGACAATTTTTCCCGGGAGGTTGGCAACTTCTTGAAACAATTACTAGCGAGACACCAAAGCTGATCTTTCCGAAATGATGATACACACTAATTAACCTTTAGTCCTCTTTAAGAGTTTCCCAGTTATAAAACCATTGAACCGTTCATTTACGGTAAATTTCATACAAATTACGAACTTGCTTCGACATTTTCAACTACCCAACTGACACTGTTGCCCTGTTGCTCATCCACTATTCACAATGAAACTCCCGCATTTTATGACACACGGCGTCTGACTCGGCGTTTTCCTATTGAAAATTCGTTTATGGGCTTTTTATTTGCATTGTGCCATCACGTGCGATTTTCAATCGCAATGAATCTTTTCGTTTTTCACCCTGACGGTGATCGATCATCGTTTTTTTTTGTCTGCAACTCATCAACTAGTACAACTGGTTGAGGTTGGAGAGTGGAGTTGTCTATGAGTTCATCAGGCCTTATAATAAGGAGTTTTAAATTAGTAGTTTTCGATACAAGGGCGAAAAATGTCGTTTTTCGAACGACGACGGCGTTTGACACCCGAGACGAAGTCGTTGCCATTTTGTGGCAATGTCATTTTTTGAAATGTCATGTTTTGAAGTTTG